GAGGGACGGTGAACGACGGCGAGGGCGAGGGGTTGTATAGATACATCCCTGCGGCGGTGGTTTGTAATATTATGATAACCCTCCCTGGCTGCCTGGCTGCCTCACCCCTACCTCGTTTCCCTCCTACGCGGCCCAGGCTGCGCGGCCACCCTCTTTCAGCGGCCATGTTGCCGGGAAATATGATTATTGTTATTATTTGCACCCTCCTTCGACCGCATCCTCCTGACTCCTCACCTCCTCGTGGCAATCCTCTCATCCTACCGCTCCTCTCTCTCCCTCTTTCCGTCTTTCTTTCGCCAGTTCGTGCCACCATCGTCTGCCGCTATCATGCTCGCGACTCACCCTTCGGCCCTCGCTCTATCCACCCTCCGCGCGTCTCCCTCCGATTCTCCGCGTTCTCTTCTTCCCTCGTTCACGATTCTCTTTACTCATCCCCTTCGATCAAACTCTATTCTCTCTGCCGCTGGCTCGCCTCTCGATCCTACGGAGCGACGGCTCTTCTCAGGCTCCGCGAATCCAGAGGAAACGAACGAGAACAAGTCCGAGGCAACTAACCGTCAACGGTGCTTCTCTCTTCATCGGGGGTCTTCTCTCTGTTCTTTCGTCTTCTCGTCTCTCTTCCGCGGTCGCCAGCGAAACTTTACGACGCGAAATGCCATCTCCGCGTCGCGCTTCTCCAACCCCCTCCCCCGTCCCGTCCCCCCATTTTCTTTTTACTTTTTCCTCCTTTTTCTCCGACGTTTTACTCCTCTCCTACCTTTCGCGTTTCCACGCTTCCTCCTTCTCGCTCCGCCGTTCACCCCGACCAGCCCTTTTTCTTTCCCGACGACGCGCAGTTCATCCGCAACTCGTCCCTGCGGAAACGTTTCATCGACCGAGACCATCGTTCTCCTTCCACCCTTCCTTGTTTTTCTCGCAACTCTCCTCCGGGCTTTTTTTCACCACCCCCCGAAACTTTCCTCGCGTGACTAATATCGAGAAGCGTCTTCGCCGGTGTGTACCAGCGGCGAGGCTATCTCCCGTCCGCCTGATAAACTTTCGTCTTCCATTTAACGAAAGGGAGACTGGACGCTTTGAACGTCGCAGTGCCCGCGACGCGACGTTCCGCGGCCGAACACGAGAAAGGGGAAAAAAAAGAAAGAAATAAATAAAAGAAAAAAGGAAAGGGAAGAGGGAAGAAGACGAGAGGAGGAAGATTCTCCGAGAAATCCGGATTTGGAGTTTAAATATGCCTGACGCGTATCCAGGAGCGCGAAGCGTGGTCGCGCGAACCGTTTGCCGGAAATTCGACTAATCGCGTTATTCGACTTGCTGCCGGTATGGTACGCGTATAACCGGCGACAAGTTTGCAACGTTAAGTGTAACGAGAACCGTGGCGTGACGTAAGAAAGGAAGAAATAAAGGAAGAAGCAGCGAGCTGGAAGGGAAATGGGTGGGTGGGTGGAGGCGCGAATGACGAAGGAAGGTAGAAGTCGGGGGGTGGTGGAGAGAGAAGAAAGGAAAAAGGAACGGAGGAAGGAGGTGGTGGTGGTGGTCTCGGTCTCGTAGTAGTCGCGAGAGTCGTGGTAATAAATGGGCAACACGAGCGCTTATAAGGGGTAGGTAATCTAAAGCTTTCGAGGCGGCAGCGCGGCGCGGGGTACGCCGAGAGAAAGCGAGCTGGAAGATGGAGGTTGCGGGGCTGGGAGGGAGGGAGAACGGTGTGTAGGATGAGAAGAACCGGCTGGAGGAGGAGACCACGGAGGAAGGGGGATAAGGGTGGTTACGGTGAGGGTGTGAGATAAGGTATAAGGTGGGTAAGATGGCGGACAATTTGCCGCTCGACTACTCTTGCCCGCACCCCTCCCTCGACGATTCCACCCCTCCCCCGCTGGCCCATGTACCGGGTAATAGATGTTCCTCCTTCGCAACCAACAGAGAAACGTTGAACGCGCGCGCAAGCTGAGAGAGCACCGTTCCCTCCCGTCGCCTCGTTCTCCTTTTCTCGCTCGCTCTCAATCTATCTCTCTTTCTATCCCCCTTTCAACCAACGTTTCCTCCTTCTCCGTCTCTTTCCAGCCGAGGAAGACCCTTCCCGCGGCTTTTCCATCCCTTTCGTACTCGATGCACGCTAGGTGGAAGCGCGCATGAACGTATATATACGCGACGATGAGAGGAGAATCACGCGTGCACGAGAACAGAGACACGTACACGCCGGAAAGTTGCGGCCGCGTTCGCATATACACGGAGAACTGGCTCCGCGGTATTCACGTTCGTGGTACGTAGGTATTTTAAACGCTCTCCACACCGTCACCTGCCGCCGCCACTGCTCGCTCCACCCTCGCGCACCCCCACCCCACCCCCGGCCCGCCACCGACAGCCTACCCGCCAGACCGCACCAGCATGCTCTCTCTTAGCATTCCATCCGCCATCTTCTCACTTAATAAAATAATTACCCCAGGCCAATTAAGCGTTCCCGCCCCTCTCGCCCCTTTACCCTACCGCCCTCTCGCCTCCGTCTTCGTCGCACCTACCCTCTTCTGTCCCTCGTCACGAGGGCTCGCGTACTCGCGCGTTCTTGCTCCTTTGAGCAACGCGACCTTCTTCCAGTCGCAAGCTATTCCGTACGGTCGTTACACGACCGTTTACTCGCTATTATTATTTCAAAAAGCCCGCCAAACGAGGTACGATTAAACCGGAGAATTATTCAGACGCGATTACGCGTGTTTCGACATAGTTTCCCGTTCGATCGTCCCAGTCCCGTGGACTCGCATCGTGTAAATGGCGTTGCGATTTTTTAAAAAGGTTACGATCGCCTGTTTTCGATGTATCGCAGCTACAGGGGGGGCCGCGAGGGCGCGCTCGCGTTGTTCCCGCGTTTTATACGCGTATCGTTATTTAACGGCTCGCCACTCGCACTTTTTCCCGTGTACGGGAGAGATTTAACGTGCACCGACGATAATGCATTTTATATTTATGCACCGGTGAAAATTTAGCATGAAACGACGATGCATTGCTCGTCAGCACGGAAAATCATTTATTGATTTCCAATAACGGTGTTTTATCTTTCGTATAAATATAATGGCCCCGGTAACGTACCTGATGAATCCGACACGCCCTATTTTTCATCGTCCGATGTTTGTTAACAGCTCTCTATTCCGTGGGCGATCGTCGATTGCGTCGCGATTTATTCCGAACACGTTTTCCGAAGGTTATTTTCCTTACGTACACGAATCGATCACCAACTATGGCATTTGAATCAACGATTATCGTATCTATTGCGTAGCTTCAACATTCCGAACACTCCCGAACACTGTGGACCGTACCGACTCGACATGACCGATGTAAATGTAAAATTCAAAACTGAAACGAAACGGAACGTTATCGCGCTCGAACTGTCAATTACGAATCGAGATTCGTTGGCAGTATTCCTGGTGACATCTGGCGTCGACCGCTTGATTCAAACGAGTTCTCGAGGCGAGTTGATGGCGCTGTCGTCGCCACTTTATCGGAATGGCCGCCATGTCGTTGATTAGTCGTGTTTTCACAAAACGCTTCGCTGAAGTTTGTTACAAAGCTACCCCGGTGTCGTGTCAGCTACAGCAAAAGAGATGTCAATGGAATCTTGTAAAAGTCCCGAAACCTGGAGTTAAAGGGAAGAGCTTCCGGAGAATTGTTCACTTCAAAGACGAGTACACGGTTGAGCCTTTACAGGTTACGAATTTAGGAGGCAGAGATCCAGTTACAGGTGCGTGTTTTATTTAAATTCAAATAACTTATTCTCACCCATGCTCTATTTTCTTAAAACGTGTAATCGGATGATATCGTTCTTGATCGAATAACCGAATGTGGTATATTAGTTTTCGGCGTGTGCACTTGCGAGATACGTATTGATTCTCCGTCGACAGTAAAGCCTACGGTCGGTAAAGAAATTTCCTGCTAGGGCGGGAATTTCAATTAGCGTATAACGCAGTTAACATAAAATTCTTTGTACGTAATGATACTTATCAATAAACAGGAAGACTGGTAGCAAAGGGTATCGGCGGAGGTATCAAGCATAAATATCACTGGATTAAATGGACCAGAGATGGGCCTACCGATATTAACGTGCCTCCGAAGGAAAGCAAAGTTCTACACATATTAAAAGATGGCTGTAGGACAGCTAACATAGCTCTGGTCGGATCTGGCGATGAATTGTATTACATTCTGGCTACGGAAAATATGAAAGCTGGAGATATAATTCGCACCCATCGAGGCATTCCTCCAAATACCGTGAGAGCTGCTGAGGGCGACGCTTATCCATTAGGCGCATTACCCAGAGGAACGATAGTCCATTGCGTAGAAAAGTATCCAGGTCTGGGAGGTTTTCTTATTCACTCTGCTGGGACATGTGGCATAATACTGAGGAACGATAGCGACGATCGTGTGATCGTTAAAATGCCAAGTAAAAAGGAATTCAGTATACACGCGAGCTGTATGGCGACTGTCGGTAGATTATCGAACATCGAGCATGGTTCGACACCTATTGGTAGCGCGCAGAAGAACAGGGAGCTAGGAAATCGACCGAGGAGCGGTTTATGGCAGAGGAAAACGGGTCGATCTGGTCGGAAACTGAAACCAGTAAAATCTGCGGTGATCAATGCAGAAACAAAGCACGCATTTAAGATGGAGAAATATGAATTAAATATAAAGAAACTGAATTTAATCGAAGAGTAAATTGTATCCAATAAATGTTACTTTATTATATTAATTTATTGTCTTCGTTGCTTGTCTTCGGTGGCTTTCGGTGGTTGTAACAAATAGTAATATCTGTAAGTAGAACTGTGTAACGTGCTTGTATCTGTCCTTCGATTCTAATAGAACCGTCTTTGAGTCATTAACGAAGTTATCTGTAGAAATATCACACTCGGAACTTGTTTTACTCCAGATCTGTTTCAATTGCGTACGTTTCCTTAGACAGCATTTCAACTAGCGATTTGTTCAAAGACCTTTGTTATAGTACACTGTTCGAAGACTAGCATCTTTAGAGAGTACTTGCTCCTGTACTTCTGGCTCCAGCTCGGTCACCGAAATTGGTACTCGTTGCACGAACAGAGCGCAACAGAGCGGAGTGGCGAATGTTAAGCAAACACCGCAGAGTAGAACTTGAAGAGGCACTACCGTCCATTTCGCATTACGCAGCAGTTGTCGTCTGTCTATGAAGTTCATCACTATGGGCGCGAGTACTGAAACAGACACGAAATTCGTCAGCATTGTCTCGCTACGAGTACCGTTCATCGAGTTATTTCGAAATCGAACGAACAAAGACAGTTGGAACAAATTCCAATGCTTACTCATGCTCGGCGAAGCCATAAGAATACGAGACAGAGTCACTGCAGCGATAGCCTTTCTAGCTGCACGCTTGCTATTGCCAACTTTCGCCCCGTCTTCGGTCTGCAGTTCTATACCGTTCTGCAGCTCGGACATCCTCATGAAGGGGATGTTCACGCAGTTGGCAGCTGCTACAGCTGCGAACGGGACTAATCGACCTACCAAGGGTGGAGCACTTCGGAAAAAAAAGAAGAGCCGATTCAAGCCGAGTGCTGTCACCACAGCACCCCCAGTCGCAATTACGTAACTTTGGAAAATCGTGCTCATGGGAATCGGACTGGAACCGCTACGATTCGTGTAGTTGACGATCGCGTTGAACGATTGATTTATCCATTGCCACGTTATCACGTTCGCCGTTGTTCTATGGGAATACAAAGAAAATACATTTCAACGAGTTCGAAGATGGTCCGAAAATTCGCGTTCTACTCGTTATCGTGCTTCACGTGTCGCCACGTTGCCGACGTACATCTGTTATGTCTAGCTACTATCGGAGAGATAATTGAATTCTACTCGGCATACCGATCGATTTCTCGCTCTCGCTTTTACCAATTCGAGCGGAAACGTGACTGCCGCTAGGCATCGCGATTAGGTTTCGCAACTGATTCGAAATTACACGGGGTGAAAGGTCTAAACCGCGTTTATCAGCCGCGGTTCAGTGTCGCCTGGCGATAAAGCGTGCCCGTTTCCTTGATCCAATTTATCTTCCGTGGATTAACGTCAGCAGTACGCACTTGTAAAACGTCAACATACAGCCGGTGATCATCATGTTCATCGGGACTTGTGCGCTCATGCGACCTATCACCAGCATCTTCTCTCCCGTGTCCGGATGGAATGCGCTGTCGTAAAGATATTTGCATTCCCACAGCTCTTCTTCCGTGACCTTCAATTGCGCCAGGCTATCCCCCTTTCTACATCGACATACACGCACAGTCGTTAGGCCAATGACACGTAAACAGTCACTCTTAGCATACACCGCGATGTACGACAATAATGTCACGCTTACCAGCGTTTCACCGACGTCGTAAATATTAACTACCTGTACTTCGTGACCACGTCTCGGGCATGTTCCAGCCGCTTGCTGCCAACGAATAGATTCCAAGGATTCGTGACCGAGAGGAAGTGCATCGCCCTACCCTTAAACGTGCTCTGATCCCAATATGGCTTCTCGATGTCGATTCTTCGCTCCTCGGCCAGCGAGCCGTTCTCCTTGCCCGTCGACATCTTGCGAGTCCTTTGTGCTCCTGAAACTCGATCCTTCTCCTACCCACGATTCTCACCTGCTCGTCTCCGACTCTTCCGTGACCACGCACCCCACCACGCGGCCCTACCGGTTTCGCAGAGGCTGCGGCAGACTCGTCGAGTGCTCGCTCCTGTCAGCCAGGGATGATTCCTCTCGGCTTGGTCCTCGCGAGAGGACGCTCACACGCCAGCGATATCGCGTCTCGCGCCGGCAACTGAACGATCCCAGCGTTCGACGCGATAGCGTCTCGACCAAGCCTCGACGCCTTGCCCCGCGCGACCTTTCGATCCGTTCCTCTGCGGCTTCGCTTCTCACCCCTATTGTCTTCCTATCGATAACATGCACGCCTGCGCAACCACCGCCCATCGCTCGCAGTTTCTCTCTCCCGCCAATAGATGGGAGCACCGTGACCTCCAATTTCGAATTTCGAATTTCGAATTTCGAATTTTATCCTCGACGAGAAATTTTGTTAGGGTAAGGATTGCTAGGGTAGTACGGGTAGTGGTATTCTTATAGGTTAGGTCGTGTGGAGTGTGTTTTGGTATTCGTGGTGCGATGGTTGGTAAGTTTTTAGAAGCGGAGATATCAAAGGGTAGGAATTTTTAGGTTCAGCTTCTTCAACCCTCCACTAGATGGGGTTACTATGCTCTCTTAAGAGTAGTTTCGAATTTAGAGGAGCATCTGTCGATTTTGTTTCGCTTTATTTGAGTAAATGACAGGTGTGTTTGATATGTGCTGCCTTATTCGACAAGTGTTACTTCCTGGCTACTCTCTTCGCGAGGATAATAAAAATACTCGAGGAAAGACCGTGTAATTAGAATCCATATCTGAGCTCGGGGTAGGAATTATCGAATGAAAAATTGCGCGGTACAGATAAATTTGTATAAATTAAAATCGTTTAGTGCTCCAGCCAGTGAGCGACAGAGCCTGTTTCTGTTTACACGCGGGTACAAACCTGGACGCGGACTTCGCCTTCTTAGAAATTGTCTTATTAACAAGGTTATTACCGATTACAAGTTTCTGGCTGTATTACAATTAACCGGGGAACTTTCTAAATGTCGATCCGGCTCGGGCAGTGGCAGTGTCCATTGAAAATTCACGCGTTCCGTGAAATCGCGTAACGACCAGCCCATATAATCGTCGACCCCGAATACCAGCGCCATTTTTTATTTTTCTAGACATTGATTAATACGCACCTTGTCAGTGTTTTATTCGCGAACGATTATTTATGAGGCTTATGATTTCCAGACTGATTCACTGATACGCTTGATCGATGAACGACGATCGAGTAGCAGTTAAAGGAGACATTGTTACATTTCATTCCACTCGGAGACAGAATGACATCGTTTATCTCGATTCTTTCGCAAATAAAATATGGAAATGTTAAAGGGGTTATAACGCAAAGGAATAGTAGTCAGTGGAAACGCTGGAAGAACTGTATAGATCTTTATTGAACGGACGAAAGGTTAGAACTGGCCTGTTTAGGGCTACACAAGTCACAGGACGTGTCCAGAAAATAGGAGATAAAAGACAAAACGCAGGAGAGGGGATCGCCTCCACATGGCTAGGATGTAGAGTATACTATACTGCTTAGTTTTGACTACAATAAGAAAGAATAATAGGAACATTAAACTCGGGAAATTAATTTAACGCGGGAAAAGAACACCGAAATAACGTAATTATAACACACGGAAATACAATCTCTCTAATTCGACTCTCTTCAACATTGAACTACTCACGTCCATGCCGGTTACAGTCTGTTTCTACGAGGATTCTTCAACGCTTCTTCGCTAAGGACTCTGCCTGTGTTGCAGAGGGTCCTGTTTTTATGTTTTTCGCAAAGCTCCATGTCGGGCTTTTGTCAATCGCTAATTGGCTGATACGGTTCAGCCCATTACCGATTTGCTGCCATAAGAAGCACGCCATTTTCCGGATTCGCGACGATTAGGATTTTTGTGACCCGCGTTTCACCTTCCTGTAAAGACTACGCAACTTATGAGGGGAGTGCAAGTCCTTCGGGTCATAGATTTAATCATAAATATCTCGAAAACTATCGAGTAGTTGCCCTTATAATGTTATATTTTCTTTCACTGGGTGCCTAAATCTACAACCCTGCAAAGCTTCAACTAAATTAGTGACCCGAAGGACTTGCACTCTCCTTCTTAGCTTTGCTACCCTTCCAAAGTAGCCTTTCATAACGGTAACTTTTTCCATTTGCTTCTAGAAAATGTCACGCATAGGCCATCGATCGGTTTATAATTTCTTTTTCCAAAAATAGTATCCTACATAGTATATACATAGTATAGATATAGTATCCTAGATATACAGGGCCGGCGCGAGACAGGTTCAGCTCGTTCACCGGAACCCGGCCCCACGGTCTACGAAAACTCATCAGACATTTTGCAGGACCCCTGTATAGTAGATTGAATATTCAGGTATATGTAGAAAATACAATCGCATAATCCATTAATCGATTATGGATTAATCGGATATGGTACAGCTTGCTGTACACTGACACGAATGCAAGATTTTCTCTTCCATCTTTGCATTGAAATATTTCGTTGCAGCGTGTTCTAAACGTTGACATTAAAGGTTGATACGACTGCTTAGGTGTTAAGGAATCACCCAATTAGAAAACACCGATTTTGATTAACATTTCAGAGAATGATGGTAACATGTCGTTTACCGATACCATATCGGATTTTACCCTTTGCGCTCGACGATTTTTTGGCTGAAGAAGGATACGAGTTGAAAAATTTTCTGCTATAAGGTTGATGATATTCGTTGAGCAGTAAATAAGAAATCGTATAACAATTAACACGTAGAATTATTTAATTTCGGTATCTCGCACGCTGTTGCATTATTTTTAATTTTATATATAAATTAATATCAAGCTTCGAAATTTTATCAAATGGCGACTGAAGGACTCCTCTAGAGAGTGCAAAGGGTTAAACGTGTATTCTGGCTTCGCAAAATTTTGGAACCCTGGCTCCGCGAAATTCTTGGAACCTTGGCTCCGTAACATTTTGGAACCCTGGCTTCGCGAAATTCTTGGAACCCTGGCTCCACAAAATTTTGGAACCCTGGCTTCGCGAAATTTTTGGAACCCTGGCTTCGTAAAATTTTGGAACCCTGGCTCCGTAAAATTTTGGAACCCTGGCTCCGCGAAATTCTTGGATCCCTGGCTCCACGAAATTCTTGGAACCCTGGCTCTGTAAAATTTTGGAACCCTGGCTCCGCAGAATTTTGGAACCCTGGCTCCGCGAAATTTTTGGAACCCTCTCTTCGCAAAATTTTGGAACCCTGGCTCGGAAAAATTTTAGAATCCTGGCTCCGCAGAATTTTTGGAACCCTGGCCCCGCGAAAAGTCACGTCGCCCCTGTAGATGTAGATAAAGAAGTGCCAAGATGATGGCTAGATACCGTAATAACTTTAAGTCTCGCGTGTTACCTGGATAAGGTATCTCGTAAAGGATGTTTCATCGGAGATACTGCTGCCACTGTTCGGCCAGAAGGAGCACGTTCGTCGCATCGTTCGAGTCGTACGTTTCGTACTGCAGTTTGCCGAGACGAAACGAGGTCGTTAGCGACACTGGATGTCAGTTAGGTCAAGTGCAGTTGTTTGAGATTTCGAAGCGAACGTTTTACTAGCTTCGATTAGCTCCGCACGTATCGACACTCGATCGCTGTTTGCCTGGCAGGCAGCTCGTGGCGAACTGTCTGTTCACACTGTGGCCCAGTTGTTCAACGATGTTGGAACGTTCAAATGAAACCGAAAACGAAAGGCACGACGAAAGCGCACGCTGGAATCCTACTGTGCTTCATTACGCGTGATTATGAACGTGTATTTGCGCCGATCGCGTCGCTAGTGGCTGTTAATTTACACCGGTGAAATTATCGCTGGTTCCGAAGACGACACTAGCCACTTACGCGATTTTCCATTCGGGTTCCTTATCGGGAGTTGAAAATTCCGACGATACCGCTTCCATTTCTCGAAACGGTTTCACGGAACAGTTATTTTTAGAGGTTTTATAGAAAATTCGACGAAGAGATTCGTTTCAGCTACGCTTCTAGCAACGTTCGAAGCACGATTTTTGTATTTATCTCATTTCTGTCCTGTATTCCTAACGGATATGCTATCTGTGTAATAGGCATGTCCACGCATATTTCTACAATTGTCCTATTTCGATTTATCTGATAGTTTTACGAGTTCATTGTATTTCGCCACGTTTCGCAAAATTAATAATAATTGAATTATCAAATATCGCAATAAAAATACCGTGTAATAGTCATGTCTACGCGTACTTTTACACTTATCCTATTTCGATTTATTTGATATTTTTACGACCTTATTGTTTTTCCTCGCGTTTCGTAAAATTAATAATTATCTAATTATTAAATATCCCAATAAAAATTCTAATTCCATTGTTCGACGATAATTCATACCGTAAAATAATTTTGGGTTTGTTTTCTCGACGTAGAAAATGGTCAATTAATCGCTGAAGGCTATAATAAATTCGTTTCCTGTTACCAAAACGATGAGGAGGAACCATCATACTTTCTAGAACAGCTACAAACAGAAAACGTGGTAGCAATAGTTTTTGAACCATTCGCGAGATAATAATTAAAACAGTTTTTTTTAACCTTGTTTAGAAAATACTCGTACAGGCAGGAATCAGTTCCGCGACCGTTCCAACCCCTGTTTACCGTGACCCGGTGAACAAGACGAGATAGAGGCATAACCATCGCTTATCCGCTCGGATAATTACGATCCGATGAGAACGTGATTGGTGGCTTTTAAATAATCCTCAGAATTTTATAACGGTTTGGTTTTTATCGAAAATCAAGGTATTCAGGCCATGAAAATTTCGCGCGTCCACACGTGTCGCCATGGACGGGGAAGACCGATCAGTTTCTCCGCGTTTACGAGCACTTTTTCGCGGGGATGTTTCGTGGTTCACCTAGTGACATAATTCCGTGGCAGTTGGCAGCGAGCAGGGAAGAAAATCGACCAGGCTGTTATCCTTCTTGTCGAGAGGTCGATAATTATCGAGGATCGATACTTTCACCGGAATCGATCTGCCAGCAATTCTCGCGCTGATCGGCGTTCCAGCGAATCCTTGCACGGCTAATTGCATACCATCTTAGGTCTAGCAGCTATCCCTGGCTACTGGCTAAATAGAGGCCAACGAAAGGTGGACGATAAGCGAACCGTAAACACGGCCTGACATGACGGACCTTCTCTCTTTCCTTTTCACGATCTGCGCCAGCGTTTTCTAGCCATCGGGACAATAAAATTATTCCAAGCAAATTATGCAAAGCAGGGCCCAGGAAATTACGCCGCCAGGAAACCTAGAAATTTTATTGTCCCGCGGATTTTTTCCCCGCGTCTCGTTTCTTGATTCGAAATCTCCGCTCCGTCCCGTGAAATGTAGCCCACTTCGCTGGACATCAATTTTTATGTCATTTCCAAGAAACCGTCGTTTTTCGCTATTATTTCCTTCCAAAGGCGCGTTATGCCTTCGTTAATGCGTCGTTCATAGAAAAACTTGTCCACTGAAAAAGTAGCCCCGCGTACCTATGTTATAACCAGGATCGGAATGCCAGATACGTCTCTATCCGGGACATATCCAGCAGATAATTGACTCGTTATCGATGCTACCCACGTCGTAAATACGCGTGTCGGAATAAAAGCAATATTACTTTCATGTCGAAGCGAAGAAACGATTTACGCTCGCTACCGATACTTTCTCGCGCCATTATCTCGGTCTATCCTTAATCGATTGGTTCAACTTTGATATCTCTTTCACATGCCAAAGCCTTGTATTATTCCGTGATTTTTCCTCGGAATTATCGTTCGATAAGTTCCTTACAACTTCCCGTTTTCGAGCCTCTTTGGAATTGCACGTATATGGCCACCCATAGCGGCCATTAACATTTTCATTACACTCGCCAAATGTGTAATCTTCGCTATAATCCCCGTACCTTGTTTACATCTATTTTTCATCTACGTTCACCTATATTACTATTTATCTTCTCATTTTGCTCAACTTCCTCGCACTTTTCCCTTTGCTTACATTCTCGCTCCGCTAACTTACCGATAGCCTCGTGCTAATATATTTGTCCGCGTGTGAATGATCTCGGACTCCTAAACGGAAAATCACGTATGCTCGTGTGCATGTGGCACCGATCGCGTTTAATCGGCCGAAAACTTTCAACTTCAATTAACGTCCCGTGTATCGGCCTTTCGTTCTCCGATTTTCGAAAGATGGCCGCTAATTAGTAAATACGACCCCTTTACCCTGGTGACCCATAAATGATTATAATTTCATATTTCTTTTCCTTCGTTTCTCAATCATCGGCAGGACCGATTTGAACCGGTCAAACAATCGGTCTCTGGCGATCGAAGACTTCTTCTTTCTTTTTCGTCGTTGACGAACATTTGTCCCCTTTCCGGCCATCGACGACGCGGATCTAAATTGGGAATCGGTTGCAGCGAGATTATCGATTCATATCCTGTCGATGGTTACGAGAACTGGGTCAACGAATGATCAGGGTAAGCAGGTTACGTTGTGGATCGTGGCGTGTCCGAGGATTCCGCCTTCCGGGCACCGGTACCCGGTTTCATCGGCTCGATGCTGAAGCCGCGAAGGTACTTCTGCGTGTACTTTTTGGTACTGATCGAGATCGCGAGTGAAAGGTGGTCGACATTTCGGTGGATTCTTCAGGCCTTTCCAACCATTGGCCTCTTGGTCCTGCTACAGGGGGGTACCAAAAAATGCTACTTACCGAGAGAGGCGTTAACGTTAAACGGACTTGGCATCTTGGACGGACTTTGATTTTTCGTTCTGCCTTCGTTCCCTTCTCGCAGTGTTACATCTATCGCGAGGTTTACGTGGTTTGAATTATAAATGAGTAAATAATCATGGCAAAATTTTCTGTTACAAAATCGACGACGTTCTTTTCTTATGCAATACCATAAGAGGGAGTAATATCTATATATTTATATTTCGTGTATTATTAGATGATTTTAAATGTAATATAGACCATCGATCTTCATATTCTTACTAGACGAGGATTAAACGCTGCCTCTCCTGTGTAATTACAATAATT